GCTGTTCATTAGGAAGTAGTATTGATTTAGGAGATAACTATCTTGTCCCAGAAGAACTGTTATCCTAATAATTTTTCCTAGGATGGAGCTGCTGGGAGGAAAAGAGGAGCACTACAGTCCCCTCTATTCACTGCATGATGTGGGGTACATACAGCAAGATATGGCAGCATTTAATGCACATCATAGTGACATTTAGTCCTGGTGATTCTATCATCACTGTTATCTTTTCAGTAGCATAGGTACTGCAGACCTTCCTGTTGTCTGCAGTAATTAAATATCAAGATGCCTATCCTAAGTGTGACCGTGTTATTGTGAGAGGGCGAAAACCTTGAAAGCTGTCCAGGGGTTAATTTTGTAGATGTATTGCTTGTTTAAAAATGGTTCATAGAACCATTTTGTGTAGACAGTAATGGGCTCATTTTTCAAAGGTGCTGATCAATGAAAGTAGCATATGAGCAGCAGACTATACAAGCTTAAAAGAAAGGATGACCAAGATGCTCTCTGCGCTGTTCTGTTCCCCTGACATGAAACAGAAATCTTTGCTTATGCATTCCTCTGCCACTTATTTGAAACCAATTTAAATTGGGTATTGAAAGTTGTAGACAGTGTTCAGCGTGCAGAAAACAGACAAGGGATAATGAAAAGGGGGCATGGCATAAGTAAACAGGCTCCTGACTCCTGCCATTCCCTCTTGGCAATGCCTTTTGTGAAAAGGGAGGAAAGGAAAAGAAAACCTTTTGCTTCAGCTGGCAGAGAGATATCAGATACAGATTGCCTTTAAGCTGCATTCTATGTGAGTTAAAGTAACTAATGAACATTAATGATTGTTCTGATAGAAGGACAATCCTTCAGTATTTTTTCCTGTATTCTAAAGGGAAGAACATCTGCTTTTCTTCACTTTTGGCCTCTTTGCTCTTTAGACCCCAACTCTAACAAGGCTGTATTTTAGCCCCTATCCCCATGCTGATGTGTGCAGCATGTATACACCATCACAATCTGTTCATATTAAAGGTATTATTTTGATTCCTAAGCATTTTGTGGGCTTTACATTTTTTCAGTAACTGTATTTTTCTCAGGAAAACTAGAAGTGCAGAACTAGAAGTACAGAATAAGCTCTCATTCTCAGTCACATTTACTGTACACAGAAAAGATTTATGTGAATGGGAGACAAGAGACTGCGTATCAGCAGAACTGATGTCTCAAACCACTCTTACACAGTGATGATTCCTGTTTTAGCCTCTACCACAGGTCCTGTCACAGTGAGGGCTATGGTTCAGCAGCTAGAAAGTGCTCTGTGAGCTCAGCATTTTCTGTATCCTCATACAGAGCTGTTCACAAACCACGTTTTCCTTTAACCAGATCAGTAAGCAGAAGGGGACACAAGGTTCACCTGTTAGTGTGACCACTGTTTGTTGACCAAGCCAAGTGCAGGCTTTAGCTGGACCCATTCAAGCCAACTCACTGTACATCCTCTGGGAACTTGTACAGTCTCTCTCAGAGGCTCATGTTTTTGGACACAACTCAAGGTACACCATGTGTGTTGAGGATGTTTTGAACAGTAGAGGAGAACCACCCACCACCCTGGCTAAAATTCAGATTGATTAGAACCTACTCCAGTCTCAGCTTCCTGATGATTAAAGGCTAGAGATCGCCTGTAGAGATGACACCTGTCAGTATGAGTTATCAAAACACATTCATCGGTCACTTAGTGGTGTGTCAGTTTGTTTTTTAACTACAGGAAGTGTTCTGTTTAATTCAAGTAGCTTTAACTACCACCAGATCTTCAGCGTAAGGAATGATTGCAAAGCTGTAACCCATTTGAAAAAGGAAGACAGCAAGGCCGAATTAAACTGGCAGGTTTGGAAATTTAAATTCAGTAGCAGTTCAAGTTATACACTACTCTTAGGTTAAAAAAAAAAAAAAAACACAAAAAAAACCCCTAATTCTATTTTAAAGACTCATTTTCCACAAATGGCTGAGCTGTTTAAGTTAAAGTGAATAAATACCTAATGAGCCATTAAAGTCTATAAGACTGTATGGCCTCCGGGCAGTGGTACCTGGATTCAGCCAATTATAGTTCCCTACGATAAGATGAAGACATCAGGTTGTTATTGGAATATATAAAGGTTGAAGACACTGTTAATAAGTCACTACAGGATGTGATAAAATTGTTTAAACTGTTTAAAAACTCTCAATGTGTTTTGCTAGACACATTTTTACTGCTAGGTTTTTCCTCCATAAAGTCTAATCCTTTCTTTGCACAGCCTTGAGAACTACGCTCTGCAATATTGCATTAATACCAAAATGTGATTTGTTTCTACATTTCCACGTTTTTAGCACGTACTCTGGAGGTTATGAAATATTAATAGCGGCAATTCTTCAAGCGTGGCATAGAGAGAACAGGAAGGAAAAGAAAGAAATTAAGGAAATACCAAAAAGTGTTTTTAAAAACCAAAGCAACTGTCCAAGAAAGGAGCCATAAATTGTGAAAGCTCTATTTGCCTTTAAGTAATACCAGCCTCATGGAAATTATTCACACGTAGCTCCTGTATATCTGTCCCTACGTCTTTTCAAGCTGAAGAACTCTGCCTGTTCATAACGAGAATTTTGTTGTGTTGGATCTGTTTATTAATCTTTAATTATTTTACCCCATGGAGCCAAGCATATAAGATTTGACTATACAACCCAAATACATAATGAGAAACACGAGAAATCACCCTGAGCACATAGGCACTAGACTTGCAAAGATTTGTGTTTGTGCATAATTTTCATCCCTCGGGTTTAAGTTTTTGGAGGGGAGCACAGATTTGTCCTCTCCCTGACTCACCCCTGAGGCACATGTTCCTCAAGTGCTTCTGCACAACGTCTTTTAAACCCTTCAGTGTCATCAAGTCCACCTAAAGTCAGGCCTGGCTAACCCGAACACACCACAACACAAGATTTTGGTGCTTTCTCTTCTTTTCCCTGAGCTTGTTTCTCTATCCATCTGTTTTCTGTTGAACTTTACCTGGCAGGCTTTTGGGGCAGTCTTGCACAGCATTTAGTGCGGTAGCATCTTGGTCTCTATCCAGGGCTACTTGCTGTGGCTCCACCCAGCTTAACTAATGTAAAGGCAGTGCATCAGGGGGCATTAATGGGACAATTCACGGGGCCTAAGGTTAAGCATATGAATAAATACGCACCCAGCGAAAGGCTGCCTGTTAAGAGCCTGAAACATTCCATTTGTTAAAGTCACCAAGCCTTTTAGCAGGAGAAAATTCTCAGTACCATTTTCTTTATGACTTGATCTCCTATGACTTAAGTAGCAGTTATTTAAAGAATTGTGATTCTGTCTTAAGAACTGCCATATAAAAGCCATAGACCACACTATATTTTTACAAGCATATTACAAACCTCCCTGACTGATCAAGGTTTCTGACAGGCACATTTACACATTTTCATTCTCTCTGCTTTCTCACATAAACGTACTGGAGGTTAAAAGCACACATGTCGCTGGCACAGCTTTATTTCCCAGCAGCATAAGTTGCATAAGACTTATGTTTGAGCCCTGATCCGAGGAGCATCTCGCCTTATCCCCTCCTGTGCCTGGAGCAGAGCTTTGGGCCACAGCGCTGCTGAATTATCACCGATGACTAATTCAGCTTTTCCCACTGTCACAGTTCTATTCTGTTTTGGCTCAAAGTCACCAAAGGGGAATAATCTTTCTACTAACTTACAGGACCAGAACCTCAGCTTGAGTAAGTCATCATAATTCAAATGACATCAACAGAAATAAGATGGTATTATGTCAGTTTGTTTTTTATGTACGGTTGTTGCTCCAAAATGTGTATCCTTGCTTCAGTGTTGCAATATGAAATATGATATTCCTTGTACATGCAGTCCTTCTCAGTTGTGCACAGGTGACTAATACCAAACTTACATCTTGGTACTTTAGAAATGCTGGGTCCTGGTGAGAATGTCCTACTGTTCAGAGCTGTGCTCTGTAATGTAAGTGTAGTGATGCTACAGAAAGGAATTTACTGAGCATGGCTCTCTGTGCCTGTGCAAATGAAGGGTTTGAGAACTCCTTCTTGGAAAATACAGTACCAGTCCTCATCCTATGAAATGGCTTCATTGATTTGAATCCTCTGATTTCACACCTACCCCTCTCATTAATGGCCTACAGTTGGGTCCCTGACTTCACAGTGGTTTATTTATGACACTGCAGTCTTAGTGGCGAGTCACCAATCTTAATCTCCTATAGACCCAAGGAAAGGAAGGAGGATGAGAGAAGGTACATTTAAAGTCACATAACAAAGCAAATAAGAAATCTGACTACGTGATAAATACATTCTAAAGGAGAGCAATATAATCGCAGACAATAAGGAGAGGCTGAAAGTTGGGACTTTTGACTACTTGCAAATTACATTTACATCAGTCCTGCCTTTTTGTGCATTAAAGATTGCTCACAGCTGCAAATCAAATACCCCAGGTATAACAGATAATGAAGAGCTAACTTCCTAATGGCACTTCCAGTCATGACTGTGGACTGCAATCTCCTTTTTATTAAGGGATATTATTTTCTTGTTTCTTGATTACATTCTTCAAGTTGTTGTGATTTTTTGGTTTTTTTTTTTTTTTTTTTTTTTTGCATTTCTTTACTATTATATATTATTAGGATGCTGCTAGCTACAGGCCAAAACATAACTTAAAACTTGCTGTGAACAGCTGTGCTTGTTAGTCTAAGACAAATTGTTTTAGAAGTCCCAAGGTATAATGAGTACATATAGGTGACAGGGAAAAAATGTAGGTTGGTTTCAGAAGTATTGCAGAAATGCATACATTTTTTAAAGATTATTACAAATATATTTTGTAATTTAAAGGATAGATTACCTATGGGTTGGATGCAAGGGTAAGTACGTTTTTATTATTGTTATTATTTTTAAAAGGGGCCATTCTTTGCTTTGAAGAAGTACAATAAAGTAGGTGGCATACACAACAGTAACACACGTTTAATTTTCTCCAAGAAAAGAAAGCCAGTCTTTATTTTTGTTTGCAGCCATGAGAATAAATATAGAAATGAAAAGATTATCAAGTATAATAGTAATTTTGTACAATGTAAACTATAATTGCACTACAATCGGCAGCCATCAAAAGTAATGTGAGAACCACCTGAAAAGACAACCTAAGCTGGCTAGGTAAACTTCCCAACTGGAATGGCAGCTGAAAAGAAATAAATCAGTATTCTTCATAAACACTGTGCTGCAGATGAACACCTCAGGTTCCCCTGCTTGTACCGCCATCCTGCTTGTTGGGCATCCACTTGCAGGAAGCACTGGAGTATTGTCAGTTCAGAAGCGATCTACAAGGGCCTGACAGGTCACCTAGATTTTGAATACCAGAGAAAAAATTCTTTACATTTTTAAAGTCTCCAGTAGCTGGATCCACGCTTCATTAGGCTGCTCCCTTGTTCAACCATGTTTTGAAGTCATATAGCAGCTTTCACTCCAGAATCTCAGTGTTCCTTCAAACAGCATCTATGTGAGCAAGAGTAAAATGCTAAAGAAGCCAATAGAGATTAAATTATTTCTGAAAAATCACTCAGCAAGCATTAACCAGAAAGAACTGAAGAAACAAGCACCCCATGCCAAGCCTGGTCTGTAAGCCAAACATTGAGCAGTTCTCATTGTTGTGCTCATGCTACTGGAACTACATCCCATTGCTTACCTGTCCATGGAATGGAAGCTCCACTATGCTGGATGAAGTGTTCACACAATGATTCTGTGTTTATAGTGATTCTGTAGAACTGAACCTACAAGGATATCACAGGAAGAGAGGAAGGCCTTCAGTTATTTGCAGCATCATCAAGAGCAGTGCCTCTATTCCACTTATAGTTAGCAGCTACTTATTTCCAACGGCTCTAAGAAGCAGAAAGGAACCACAGAATGACTACAGGGATAGTCCCTTCAGATCTAAGGATGAAAAAGTGTAAACCAAAGCTTTAATCTGTGATGTTTACTTCTGGTTTTTTTTGTGATTTTTTTTTAATATTACTTTAAGAGCTATGAAAGATAAATTTTCTTCCTAAACTTCTTGTTTTCACTTTTTTGTTTGTATTTTTAAACATACATAATTATTTTTTTTGTCTTTGTTTTGATGTTTTCCAGACTGAGAAACAGGTGAGCTCAGGTCTCTGTCACACGATAGAATCCTTGGATATCTACAGGGCAGAAAGGCCAGAGAAGTGCTTCCTCTGCTATTGACACAAAGCACAGAAGTATCAGCCACGCACCTGAGTGCCACTTGAACAAGGTGTTCTGAGCCTGCATTGCTCAGCTGGAGCGATCACGGGCTGCTCTGCTTCATCCCTCCATCCCAGTGCACAGAGACTATCTGCACAGAGCAAGTCCAGTGCAGATGATGCAAACCAGGCTTCTGCAGTCTCCGTTTTCCCACCCTTGCTTAATGAGAATCCTTGCTTGTCAAAACGATGAACCTACAGACTGAAAATGAACGCTGTTATTAGTGATTCCATTTACAATGCAAATGTCTCTCTTTCTAACTGTGAATTAATGAAGAAAACAGGGTCACAAAGATGTAACTAAGGAAATCTTTCTGTCTTTGGATTTGCTAAATTTGCTCAGATATAAAAAGTGAATCTGCCCACCCAGCCCGCTTTTCCCTAATCTGTTCTAAGCAGAGCAGTAGCACAATGACAGAAAATAATATTGTCATTTAACATAACACTCAGCAAATGCAATCCAGTCAGAGCTGTGCAGTGTTTCATAAGCTTTAAATAGACTGAGCACTCCTTCCTTGTGAATTAGATATTGCAACCATTTTACAAAAAGGTAAATTGAGACATACAGGGATTAAGACCAGCAAGACTGATTTCTGTGGCTCAGCTGGTCTTCTTTTCAGAGACACCAAGAAAACATCTCTCTTCTTCTGTCAGTTTAAGTCATAGGCTCTGATTGATTGGTTTGCAGTTGGTTTATTAAGCTGGACGCCCACAACTTGTCATTGGTGATTGCTCAAGAAAAGGGGGAACTGTTGGAGTTAATCCAGAAAGGAAGCAGGTGAGACTCGAGACCAGAATCTTAGTTTCCACATATAACTACAAAGCCAATCTGGTTCCTAAAGTGACATTACCAAAAGGTTTGGAAGGCCCTCCGCACTTAGAAAGAAAACAGATAAGCCAAGGAGAAAAATTAATACGCTTAAATTAAATACGGCAACAACAAATAAAACACCAGACTATTTGTTATATACCGTAGACTCTGTGGAAAAGCACTGCACCCATTATTTCTTATTATTGCTCCAGGAAAGAAATTCACAGGGAAGGCAAAAAAAATGAAGTTAGCAATGATTTTTCACTGTGAACATTTCTCCAGGGATGAGTTATAAAGGAAAAAAAAAACGTAGCCTGAGAGAAGAGAGCTAGAAAGAAAGGATTATCTACATTTATGTATTTAGTGAGACACTTGCACCCACACTAATGCTGTTATAGGGAAACCATTCAACAGCACTTCTACACCTCTTTTTATTTTGTCTTAATGCATGGAAGAACCGTTTAGTCAAGAAGTAGTAAATTGAACTACGCGTTACGGCTAAAGCTGCAGTAGGTAGGAAGAGAGAATCCAATGTGATTCAAATTCCTTCCAGTTAGGATAAATGTCTGTTGTATGGGCTGATTACTGGAGTGGCTGCATGCACTAACTGCAGGACTCTCTCTCCACATGACTACCATACCCAGTTTTAAGTAAGAAAACCATACAGCCTGATCTTATCTGGGGAAAGCTGAATGCCAAGGCTCCCTAAGCATCCGCTGTGTCACAGAGGACCAATGACACTAACACGTACTCTGTGAATAAAAATGCATACAGAACAGACAGGTCTCAAAGAAAAGCGAGCAGATGGGCTGGCAGACAGCAATGAGGAGGTGCAGCATAACAAGAAAATGAGAAGTTTTCAAACACGGAATGGTAGCAGAGGGAGATCAGGTAGAAAGGGTTGCAAATTGTTGATCTTAAAAGTGGTTCAGAAACATCATAGTTGAGAAGGATGACAGCATTTGGGTCAATAGTAGGCTTTAGATGAAAGGTAATACTACATGAAGCAATGCATCCTAACATCATACAGAAGAGTAGGTACTGAAATGCAGATAAGTAAATAGAAGAAAGGCTAGTGGAAATATAGAAGAAAGAAAGAATATTGAGTAAACATGCCATTCAGAGGGTGGAATAGCTAAAGATCCAACAAAAGTTAGTGCAGAATGAGGTTGCCTTTTAATAAGTTAGCACCAGCTGTTCAGTGGAGGATGGAGGGATTACGTTCATTATTTTATAAGTTCAGTTGCCAAATCAAACCTTAGAATCATTGGCCAGAATTGTCAATTGCAAACAAGGATTATGGTAGATCTTTTGCAGAGGCACTGAAATGAAGCAGAAATGTATTTCCTGCCTCTCAAAATGTCCTAAAAAGTGACGGATCAGAAACCCTCAGTACCTACTGACCTAGAGCCTTCCCAGTTCAACATCAGTCTAAAGCTGTATTAGAATGACTATTGTCAGTGTATCTTCAGGGTCCGCAAAGGACATGACTCAGACTTGAGCTCTTGGCCTGATGGTGCTGGCAAGGAGATCTGTCAGAGCCCTGGCTCTCTTCTGTACACACTGATGCTGGCTTCATCGTTTTTCCCCTCTGATCAACTCCCCTTGGGAGAGGTGAGGGGATGGCAACCATGGACTGCCTGTGTTGTAGCTGGTAGGATTTCAGCCTGCTCAAACACATGGGTCCTGGCTCGTGCCCAAGTTAGCTTATCAACAAAGCTTATGAGCTCCAACCAATCCCTTCATTAATATACGTGTACAGTTTCCAAAATGCCCACATGTGCCTAGCTTAGAGTACTGACAGTGGAGGCTGGATTTGTGCGATATAATTGGATACAGCACCGATAAAAGCTGTAGCCCTAAGTCATCAGGGTACACCAGTAAGTCAAAGAGAGGAAAGCACTCATTGGCTTAAGACTTGGCACATGTTCACTGCACCAGAGCTGGCAAAAAGTAAAGACTGAAAGATCCCTCGACAGTGTGTTCATTGACCTCATAAGCGTCCTGTGGGGTTTGTTTGGGAAATATTGCATATTGATCATCTGACTAAGCAGAGATGGAAATAACTGATCTACTGCTGAAGTGAAAATAAAGAACAGGGAAAGAAAAGGAAGTGGTAAAATGTAGAAAAGTTGAGGTACGGACCACAAACACTACCTATATTAAAGGATATTCATGTTATTCTATGATAGAATAACAACATTATCCCTTCTGGCTCATGTTATTACTTTGGCTAAATCCTTTAAGTAGATTAGAAAGAATTATGGGACCTTCCTGGAGGAAAAAAACCTATAAACAGGTAGCGTGCATGCTTTCATATAGATAGCTTCCAACAAAGTGCTGCCCTGGAACAGAAAGAAGGGAACAACCAGACGTTGGGATTCTTGAGGGGGTAATTAGTGAGAAAAACTAAGGTTTGAAATTTTATTTTTGTTTACATTTTGGGCTTCTCATAATTTCTCTGCTCAGCTGTTCCCTGTCACTCTGGACAAATTTCAAGACAAATTCTTTCACTCATAAAAGAGCAACCCCAAGTACTTAAGGAAGGATTGCAAAAAACAAGCTTCATGCTGCTTAACTTCATCTCTTTATGTGGCTTAATGTGTTGGGGTTTTTTTTACACTTATTGGGTTATATTCTAGCCAGGCTAAGCTGCTGAAGTCCCACTGAATCAATGAGGTGGTGCTAAATCCTCTGAAGGTTCCTCTGATTTTCACCCTCTAGCTGGTATTCTGACAAGCTAAACATATTACATTCCTCCACGCTTCTCTATTAATAAGAAAAGCTTCAAAATATAACTCAGATCACTCCTAGAATAACCTGCAGTAAATGTACAGCATCTGAATGTATACACACATCCTGAAGTTATTATAATTTTTTGTTAGGCTTTGTTTTGGCCCCTGGTTTTCTTCTGTTTTCCTCTTCTTCAGTACTTCAAGCAGTACTTCTCAGGCCGCATGCTTATCTAACTGGAGTCTTTGCCCACCCCGAATGCACAGCAAAACTCCCCTCACAGAACAGCACACCCAGACAAAACAACACATTGTTTAAAAATGCATGCACCCCTTGTTTGTGCACGCACACATACAAAAACACATCTGTGATTTCAAATTCATCAAGAAAAACTTCAAGGACATCCAGGGCAGACCGACACTGACCCAGCAGAAGTGAGGCCTGTGATAACTTTCCCTTTAATCTGGTTTTCTCCTGCAGTCACCTTTTGCTTCCTCTTCTCTATTGATACTGTTGTTATTATTCTGAAACGTTCCCAGGACCTCTCTGCTACACCCTGAAGCTTCTGTACTCATCAAGAAACAGACAAGCACCTCATCCTAAGGCACAAAACATAACTGAGAGAGCACAGACCATCAGCACATCACGGGGGAGGGGGGTGTGCACATACCCACAAAACTGATTAAACATGCTAACTTTGCAGAAGAACTGTTCATTACCATTATATAGAAGAGATCCACTATCTGAAGTACTGTTTATTTAATTATTCTTAGGTATTTTCCATCTCCTGTATTCTTGTGTGGATATTTATTTTTTATACCATTTTCCAGCAGCTTTTTCTCCAGATACTATGAAAGAAGAGCTGGGTTAGGACCTTAATCCCTTTAAAGATTGTGACTGTTCTCAGATTTACTTGGATTAGAGTCATTCTACAAATTTTCCTGCAAAATATGCCATGCCTCTTATTGCTAGAACACGTATGAGCACTCCACGCCAGTCTGCCACTCACAGGACAAGCTTACAAAATGCACTTGCTGTGTACATGCATACCCAAGTGAGAGAAGGCAAATATCATTTCTCCTTTCTTTTTTTTCCACTTGAAAAAGGGCAGTTCCCTGGAAATCTGCAGCAGTGTGCCACAGTTTCACGTGAAGATTGTGATATAAGTCAGTCACTTGATTGACAGCATGTGAAGAAGTGTTATTTTTCTGTTCCTCACCCTAATGAAATTCCTGTGAGATGAGTACCAGGAGCAGCAAGAAAGATGATGCTGGGACCCAAAAATGAAGCCTGACTTTTTTGCATCTGTTCATATCATTTTAAAAGGGAAACACAGGTGAGTGCTTAAGCCATGCGTTGGTAATTCCCTCACACCTGAGGAACTGGATGGATGTACATTTCAGAAGTCCCATCTGTAAATCAACTGCAGGAGAGTAGCAAGGACCTGTGGCCAAACAGCAATAGAACCACACTGGGGGAAAGCCATCAGGGCATCAAGGCAAACTTGAATTCAGTCACACATACTGGAAGCTCAACTTCGGAAGATTCCCTGTAGACAAAAACCGTCTTCTCAGCCCTATGTGAAGGCAGGACTTTATCCATGGGGTCAACACACTTACTGGATGAGAAGGGCTTGTTCACTCACTTTGTTCCTGTGGTATTGTCTTGCTGGATCCCAGCATCCCATCTGACATGCTTCCTTTGCTGCTGTGGGAAATGCTTTTCTCTCAGTGAGCAGGTTTGGCTCTAATTGTTCAAATGCCAAGGAGGTCTTTGGAGCACTGCCATATATTATGGGATATATTAGTTATTTTACACCTTACAGCCATTGAGCTGGAAGGACTAATGGGAGAGGTAATGGCCTGAAGGGATGAGGAGCAGTGTGAGTGGGTAGCAGATGAAGGGAAGAGAGTGGGTAAGCAAGCTTTTAGGGCATGTGGCATCCGACACCCATAAACGTGAGTAAAGGTTTAAGGTAACATTTTACACCCAGTTGAAAATGTCCTTCCAACACGATACTCCAGTGTTTCCATTTTCAGTTTTACGGCTCATCCATATGATCCTGAGAGCGCGTGGGAAGCAACATACAAATGGGAATAATAGAAATTAATTACTCCGTTAACACAAGTGGATGAAATGCAGGCCCTATTGAAATTAATATCAAAGCACTTTCACCAAGGGCAGGACTTCACTTACGGGATGTACTGTGGCACAAAGCCAGCGTCGGTAGATCAGCATCAGGGCAGCTCCAAGCGGCTGTGCTGGCAGTGATGGAGTACGGGCACAGTCTCTTTTTTTCAGCTTCCTTATTCCTATTAACACATGCAAATGATGTGCATTTCTTTGTCCTTTTCGCTCCAGTAGCCTCAGTTAACTTGCTGTTAACATAGATTTTATTTCATCTTTTGAATTGGAGGGGAAAAAAAGAATAACAAGCAGTGATGGAGGGATATGAAGAATAGCAAAGTAACAAAGCACAGGCACATATACTGAACCTACCTTATCCTTATAGTAAGAACCTGATTAGAAGTAGTGGACTAAAAAGTACAGCATGAAAGCATCCAAATAGCAGAGGGGTTTGTAAACTCATGAATAAGTTTGTCAGATAACTCTCTGCTGTGTTGCATTTTTAGCTGTATCCTTGTAAGTGTTCCAGAACAGTGGCCTTTGCATATTCCACAACTATGTTCTGAACATATTTATCAGACATATGCCATTCAGTGGTGGTTGTTAAATGCTCTATCCGTAAACCATTATGCTCTCCTATATTGAAGTTTCACTGCAACAGGCAGCTGTTTGACAGCGAATAAACTCCTGGGGACAGCAGCAAATCAAATTAAATATATCTCTATAGAGCTATCATAGGGGATTGCGTGGCTTGATAGGCTGCATCAAGAGCAATAAGTACACAAAGGAAGAGCAAACCTGAGATAAATCAAGATAGACCAAATGAGCAAGCAGTCAGACAAATCATTATAGGCTCCCTGAAAGTCATTAGGAGTTCTACCATTCATTTCAATAGGAGCTGTATTTCAGCTGTCTGTCTGCACAGGAAGTTTTTAATCCTGTAAGAGTCAGAGAGATCATCTAATTGCTGTCCTCTTCCCACTCACTTTTATAAGCTTGGCTGTGGGAAACAATACTGCTAATAAATAAGCGTGCTGAGAAAAATACTTGTGCAACAACACAAATAATGAAGATTTGGTTCACTTTCTTTTGTAGCATTTGTTTTCCTCATATAAACTTTTAAACGACTTAAGAGTTTAATAGTGGCACTTCAGGAAGCACACAGCGCTTACATTCTTCAATATATCAAACCTTTCTTCAACATATTTTCTACCCCAAACCTCAATACTCCCTTTCTCAAACACTCCTTTCAACTTGGCCATACTCAAATCCTCTGTGCCATTTCCTTCTGAAAAAGTAATGATAAGTCCATGTATTACTTATAACGACCTTGATGTGCTTTAGCAGCACGCAAACCTACATTATTCATTCTGTTGTTAACGCTCCTTCTCACCTAACAGTTCACAGGTTCCTGATTAAACAGTGTAACCATGGCCTACCACAATAGCCTGTTTTGTTTTTATACTGTTTTTCTGAGTAACCTTATCTTAATCAGGTTCATAACGAAATCCATGGAGAAATACAGCTGTGCTGCTCCTACTCACAAACTAATTTCTCATATTCAAATGCTACCTTTGTTTTTCATGACTGCTTTGTCAAGCATCTCTCTACAGGCCGCCTGGAAAAAGGTAGGAGAGGAACAGTGGCCAACTGTTCATTGGTAACAACTTCTGAGCAAGAAAGGGCTCTGTAGCAGCTGTCCTGCTTCCCCCACAGCAGGGCTAACACCCAGTGACACGCAGCCCATGGTGAAGTCTATCACTGTCATATTAAAAATAAGCTTTATATTATATATATTTATATGAAGCATGGAGCTTCAGATATTCAATATGGGGTTAAAGACCTCTAGTGTAATACGTATTTTGGACACAGAGCTATTTGAACTTTGGTTAGAACTCAAAAGGTGTTTGTTCCAATTAAAAGTTTATGCTTTTGTTGAAGCTGATCTCTTAACATGATTTTCAATTCTTTTTCTCTAGAGAAAATAATACTAAAATTGAGTAACTGTTCCAGGGAAGTTTCCTCATCAAGAGGCTGAAGAATCGAACTACCATTATCTTAGTCCATTTCTTCTACTAAACCTTTGTACTTATTCCCACAGAAACCACAGGAGATGTGTTTTGTAGGTTGTGAAAGTCTAATCTAAAGTAAAAGCCTACAGTGAAATACAGAGAAAGGTTGTCTGATGCAAGAAGCACTTATCGCTTTCTTCTAACAGGGCTATGTGATAGCTCAGCATGTGCAAATAATCTGAATATCTGCAGCTAGGGCATTATTTGGTCTCTCATTACCTCTCCAGGACACAGCAGAACACAATTCCTGTGGAACTCCATACAAGTTGTACCAATAGACACCTCTGTCAGGTGAGAAGAAAAATTGTGTAAGTTGATCATAAAACAAGCATAAGTGACAAAGTAACATCATTTCTATTGATTTGCTTTCAAAAGTGGGATGCAGCTGTGAAACTGTGATGCTTTTATTCGCTGAACCTAGCATCATATCAGCTGTCACGGCTTATTGAGGATGTGAGCTACCTAACCCAGGCACTGCATTCCTTTCTAGACACACAGAGACAAAAAGCACAGCATTAACACACAGAGCAAGGTGGGCATCCAGGCTGAGGAATGGGGCAGCTGGCAAACACACTGGCAGAACTGGAGTTCTTAACCAGGCAGTCACACACACCATTGGTAAGTGTCCCAGTAAGTGCTGCAGACAGGCATGTTTCTTTGAGGCATGAACAACACTGTACCTTGTAAGTATTTCATATCATTATTATTTTTCCCTATAGATTGCATAGGGGCAGCCAAGAAAATAAGCGACGGTAGAACATGAAGCAGGCCCAGATTACCATGTCAGCATTCTTCCTCCCTACGCTTTTAAGGGCTTAAAGAAACTCTGATCGAAAGTCAAGTCCTACAGGCAGCACCACGTAACAGTCCAGATAGCACATGTTTTGTGCTGCTGTTTTCAGCGTTACGCTGTGACCCACAGTGACATCCATTTCAACAGTACTGGTTATAAACCTGCACTCAAAACCACTGCCTCCTGCCCTGTGCTGAAAATTGCACACCACTCTGTTCCAATGGGAGAATACAGTTAGCACTGGGAGAGCAGCTGAAAAGGCAGTGTAAGCCACTAGCAGAAAGCTGCAACATTATCAAAACTTTTCTCCTTTTTAAATGTCTCAATTCAGAACTAAGCAATGGAAGAAGAGACACTTTTTAAGCTATTACCCTTTTATTTATGCCATTTTCCCCCCTCTCCTAAGACGTACCTTTGGGTGTTATGTGACAGCCATCAATACCATTGCTCACAGCCTAAGCACCTTTGATACCAATTAGAAGAAAAAAAAAAATAGAGAAATCAGGAAAAGGCAAATGTATTTGTTAGCTTTTTATCTAAAGAGCAATTTACAGAAGGGAAAATTTACCAATGATTTCAGCCTTAACACTTCAAAGTGAAACTCTGTGCAGTGTAACATCTCTAATTTGTTTTAAAATATACTGAAATACATAACTGTAGCACCAGGAAGTATGACTTCAGGGACTGTGGTATTTCAGTTCCTAAAAGGACAGGCAGTTACCTCACCATTATGAGCATGCTTTTAAAAACTGGAGCAACACTTCTTGCACGTTGTGGGGGGTGAAGGAAGAAATTGGCCTTCTCTTGGCTTCCTGAGCTGTGAAGGCTCACTCTGTACAATCAAATCCTTCCCTAATGACATGCTTATTATCTTAAGAAGTAGTACAGATGGTGTGTATTTTTTCTCTCTTCAGCATTGTTCATGCTAAAATCACTCTTTAGAAGCTGGAAAATGCAAGCACTGTTAGACACTCAAGAGCCAATGACCAATGAAAGAAAACTAATAGCAATTAACAGCTGGTGGCTTTTATGAGCAGGCACTGTCCCACCTTCATCCTCAACTGATTTTTTTGCATTTGAAGCTGTACTACAAACTCAATACAGAAGTCACAGTAGGACTTTGGCCTCCCATTGCTAGCTTATCAATGTAACAGATGAAGTGACCTCAGAAAGCAAAACGCAACCAATAACCAAATCCATACACACGGCTGAGAAGGAAATAACTCTGCAGGTGCTACAGTTCTGATAGAGAACAGATGTCATATAACAAATGTGCCCATCCGTAATGGCACCTGTAAGATGCCAGTAATCTTTACCTATAACCTGCTGCTCGGCCCCACATCTCCAATAACTTAGAACAGCTCCTGACTAAACCCAGCTGACTGCTAAAGCATGAAGCTGACCAGTAAGCCAGAGAAATGTGGCATATGCATAAGGTAAGGTAGAGATTCTCACGCATTTAAGGCATCAAGAGGAAAAAAATAACAACTCATAAACTTCTAAGTCCAAACATTAAGACTATAGGATTATGTTCTGTCTCCATCAGTAGATGGTAGATGCACATTTAATTACTCTCATAGCTCCTGCTTCAAAATTTTTTAAAAATAAACCTTTCAAAGTTACCAGAACTCTTTCATTTGAACTAAACTGTTTTACTCAAATTTGAAGAACTTATAGCATAGAAAGAGGGTTCTCTTTCTCCATTCCTCCCAGCCAAGATTATCTTGTACATGTTTTACAAGCAGCTAAGTTTCACTTTGAAATCTAATCAGCAACATGTCCATTCCACATAGAAAATGTGAGTAGTTTGTTGAGTCTTCTGGTCTGATATTCTAAGCTGCAGATATCCACCTTTCAATCAGAAGTGCTTGAAAAACCATTATCCACAAATATAAATACACTGTAAATACATATACACACACTGTACTCCCACATGTCTTCCAGGTCTAACACGTCCATGCCGAACTTCAGACAGAACTTTCAGAATCATAGACTTTAAAAGCTTCCATATAAAGACTACACACACGTGGTTGTGTGGACTACTTACAGTAAGTTTTGATCCAAAAGCAAAATAAGATGATGTCTCTGAAGTTATTTCCTCAGGCTGGCCAGGATGGTGCTGCTTTTTCAAAGTCTCTCAGTAAAAGTTTCCGATACTTCAAGCCTTTAATCCATGGCCCTGAGTCCTCCAGCTCTGAAAACAACAATGAAGGAAACCTTGCACAGGACAGCTGATGATCAGCTGTTGTATTAAAATATCTTTGTTCTGATGGAACAAAAGGCACGGTGTGATCAGACAGAACGAAAATTGGGAATTAGAGAACAGCATCAACCTCTGCTATGATGATGGTCTGACTTCTCTGGTGATACTGCTATGAAGAAAGGCTGCCAAGTGAAGCAGGGTACGCACTGAAAAACACTAGACATGATTTAATGAGAAAGTTTATTTTATTGGTTTACAAATCACACCTACCTCTTCATTAAAACATCTCTTTATCAGCTCTTCTACTTCAACACTTCCTTCTTGCTCATCATACTTCAGCAGAAAAAAGTGCAGTTATAACACTACGTACCTGCTTCCCTGAGAAGCCCTGATTTTCAAGAACATTTATGTAAGGCTTTTCAGTGCTCCAACAAAGCAAAGATTCAGTGTGAATTTTAGTGGTTTTACATTAAATTGTCTGAGGGAGAAAAAGACAAAGTCATTACTGACATAAAATTGTACACCAGTGTTTTGCTAATATACTTGACCAAAAAATTCACCTTCATGCAGTACTTCTTTGCAGGTTCTTCAGTACTAATCTATCTATAGGGGCAGTGTGACAGAGAAGCGCAGCACCGTCTAAAGGCACAGAAGACACACAGTTTATTGCTGTGGTTTAACCCCAAAGGCAGCTCAAAAAGGTAAAGGCACAAGAACTGGTGGGTTCTCACTGTGTGTGCAAGGAAAGCAAAACAATGATTTACTTTGCTACATTCCATTGGTAGGCAGACAGTGCAGCGACTGCCAGGAAAGCAGGGCAAATTCTAGGGCCAACACCATACAATATGGAATATTCCTTTGGCCAGTTTGGGTCAGCTGTTCTGCTTCTGTCCTCTCCCAGCTTCCTGCACAGCCTGGTGGGGCAGCACGAGAAGCTGGAATGTTCTTGGCTCCATGTAAGCACTGCTCAGCAGCAACTACAATCACAGTCTTATTGACACTATTGTACCAAAGCCCAACACACACCATAATATAAGCTTCTATGAAGAAAATCAACTCTACCCCAGCCAAAACCATGACATTCATACATGTTTATTACCAACAGAATAACAGTATGGAAAATACTTCAGCCATACAAGTTACCATTGGATTGGTTGAGAGAATTTGCTCACTCCTGAATATGTACCTCCAATTCATTTGTACATAACAGATGTCTAGTACTTCAAGTGATTCAACTGCAACAAATCAGGCTTGAATATATGGCAGTGTAAGCAAGACAGCTGATAATTTAGATAATTTTGTACCCTGCCGTGCTGAGTAAATTTGTTTTATAAGGGATGATCGCATTTAAATACAGGCACTGCAAAATATGACAGCTCCTTACAAGTGAAAACCACTTGTCCTTAGTTTTAAAGCTTGCTATTCTGCTGGAACTGCGACACCAAGGAAAGAACCTGCTCTGAGGCTTTAATGGCTTTTGTCCCCAGATAGGCAGCACTGTTAGTGGCTGTATCCTCTAAGAAGTACCGGTAGTTCACCATCATGCCACACGCAGCAGCAATGCCCCGAGGGCTCGTGTCTGCCATCCAGTTTATCCGCCACAACACGGAGCCATTCTGAAGGTGAAAGTTTGCTACTGGGTTCAGTGCGTAGCCGCGGTGTTTCTCCCCGTACAAATACCAGGCACACAGTCTCATCAGCGGCAAATGGAGAGCCTGGACTAATTTTTCTGATCGCACCCATTCGTTGTTGTTTAAGAGCTTTTTTAGTGTGTCGGTGGTACAGTCTCCTGTGACCTGAGATAGTTCTTGGCGTTCTGATTCTGTAAAAAGTTCATTCTTTTCCAGTTCTTTTGTCTGTGAGGAGAGGAGACCAACGAGCCATTTTGTGAACCCGGGGATAGGCGAGAGAGTAGAAAAAGTTTTTATCTGAGGAAGTTCTTTCTGCAGATAAAAGGAAAGCAAAAAAACCTTATGAGTTCTGTCATGACTGAGAATGAGAAGTTTGAGTGAAGATGAAGGGTTCTGAAAATGAACACAGAATCACAGAACCACCAAGGTTGGAAAAGACCTCCAAAGACCATCCGGTCCAGCCATCCACCCATCACCAATATTTCCCTCTTAATCACATCCCTCAGTACCACATCTAAATGTTTCTTGAACACCTTCAGGATCAGTGACTGGGAAATCCCCCTGACAGTGACAGCTTAGCATCTGAAGGGCACATGGAGCACTACAAAAACTACAACAGCAGCTGAATCACAGCCCACGAACACACAACCTTTTAAAAAATACTTATATAGTACTTACCAGCCCTATGTGCTGAAATAAATGCAATCATGTGCCATTAAAAAATTATTTAGAGAAATAAGATTTAAAAATATAAATCAATCAACATATGTTTTCAAAGCCTTTTAAGTAATTTATTTTTTTATGTGTAACTAATGAAGGAGAGTTAACAATTTCAGCCTACAGGAAAATTAGTAGAGCTATGACTTCCCATTTTTGGGGGAAAGAAGTAGCTCCTGAAGTTCTAAAGGAGGTGTTCTGTACTTCTCATGCTATTCAGAAACTATAAACTACACGGGTAACGCAGCAAGATAAGAAATATATACAGACAGTAAAAAAAAAATAAACACACAGTTAATATTTGAACACAGCAAAGCCTCTGCTCTACTCCTATCAATCCATGAGTCAGAACGATCCATTTCATAATCTTCTAAAGCAAAACATACAGAGTGAAAACTGTACATTAGTTTTGGGGCACATCAACACAAAGAATAAAGAAGGTTGTTTAAACTTACTCTCACTTGGAACGAACAAAACTGACATCAAAAGTTAGCCCTACTGAAGGAGTAGGGAGGACAAGGAACAGAATTAAGACAGTGCTGCAATGAAGCAATCCCTGTGTTTTAATTACTGTTCATAAAGGAAACTGTGCTAAGAATAGACATTTATCAGCATTACAGAAGCATCTGAATGTCAACAGCAAATTGTCTTTAAATGACTACAAAACACATTTTCTTCTACTTTAAGCACTTCCCAGACAACCATTAAAAAGTCATCATCACTGAGATGCAATCTCACACAGGCAAATGTTAATGGAATGTGTGCTGCTAGGGCATTCAGACTGCACCTGCACTGCTGCATCCTCAGGTACTGCTGAGCTCCACACCACGCTGCTGTCTACGTCCTGTTTCGTGAGGATACAGAAGCCAGGGAAAGCAGACCTGTGGCACATCCCCATTACAAATCGGAACGTACAACACAATGTTACTAAAAGCCTCAATAACTGAACTAATACCCTGATGGTTATTTATCATATTTTAGCTTTTTCCTACTCACACAGTGCTTCCCAAATAGCTCACTGCTCTTCTGCAGGTTTCTGGTACCACGATACACCCAGACCTGTTCAGTTAAAGTCCATTACATAGTAGGCAGATATGCAAGTCACAGTTCTTTTGGGACCAGGCAGAAGCAAGAGAGGTAGACAGAAGATACAAAGAAGCATCCCTTTTCATCTCTTTGGAGGACTGAATAGAGAAAACTAGTAAATTATTTAATAAAAACACCCATTTCAGTATCATTTTGAACAAAATGACCATTTCTGTAACCAAGAAAGCCAATGAGTTCCTGGCCAGGTCATAGTCTCAATTATTCTAGTTACTGTGGTCCGACAGTGCAATACCATTGATGCATCGATCTCCTGTAACATTTTCAAGTCTCCCACTCAAGGACATAATAATATTTTATTTTTGAGAGTCGCTCTGAAGCATAAGAGTGTGTAGAGAATACAGCCTTTGTAAAACAGAACAGTTTATTAGGGCTGTGCTCTTACTGCAGATGGTAGCCACGGAGGGTATGGATATAGGAAATAATTTTTGATCTAAAAAAATATTCCTTCAGCATTTTCTCCTGCATTTTCTGAAAAAGATTCTTCTCTGCTTTTGAGAAAAGGAGCAGTGATCACACTGATCTTAAAATAAATTGGGGGGCAGGAAAAGGGCAAAAGAGAAAACAGAACAAAGCAACTCCATAGCCATTAAAAAACCTTCCCTTGCTAGCCCCAAACTAAATATTTCCCCAAGGATATCAAGACTCTTTCATCCACAAATCAGTTCATAATGACTTTAAAGAAATTCGAATATAGAATCAAATGAATCTTCTTTTAATCTCCTTTTATCCATCTCCATGCAGCGTATCTCAATTAAGGAGTATGCCTAATCACATCCAAGATCCACTCTATAGCAGCAGGATCTTAATTAGTATGGTAAAGGAGAGTTATGTTCAGGTGCTCCCTTATCGGCTGCACTTCCCTTGGTTTAACACTTGCTCCCACCCCCAGGACAAGACTGCTAGCACAAAAACACTGCTCCAGAGGAATCACAGAAAGATGCATTTTTAAGTGCTATTGGAAAAATACATCAAGATATTTGTCCCTGGAGAAGGGAGCTGATAGCATTCAGTTTTGTCAAGATGCTAATCAGCAGCATTACTTGTTACCTGCATTTATTCACGCACAGCTGAAAGCTGACCACTGGTGGGTGGCTCTTCTGTGCCTGGCCCACAGCTTAGCTGCTGAGACACTGCTGGCAAGTAACAAGACCTTCTGCACGTCAGCACTTACTGCAGCTGGACAGATTTCTGCCCAGAAGGGAGGGTTACACATCCCTTCTGAAGATTCAGTGACCCAGTGCCCACCTGCCTGTCCATGCAGTAATGATGGATGACAACTCAGCAACTGTCTTCACCTGCAAAGGAATCTGAAGGCATAGAAACAAAAAAGCCAAAACCCATGAAGCTTCTTTTTATCAGCATCTTTAAGCAGGAGCAAGGTTGCCCCACAATAAGTACTGGATTTCAAAATGGAGCTTTTTCCTTTTCAGCGTTTCCATTCTTCGCTGGGATTTGAAGTTCATCTTTACTGCACAGCACTAAGAACACAAAAGATGGGGATAAAGTAGCAGAAGTGTTCAAATTAATGAATTACCAATGGGATATCTGAGATGTGCTGCCAGAGGGAGTACAGATGTCACTCTTGCGAAGCAGGGGGGTAGGAAAAGGAAAATGAGGAAAAGGAAAAACAAAACAGTTGTTAGAGGCTATTTTCCTCTACGTAGGAATTCAGGGAATACAGGATGTCTTTCTTTTCAACCCAAAGATGGGATTATATTCCTTAAAAGGTTTACCTTTTTTTTTTTCTTGATGATACTACCTCATCCTATCAAAGCATCTTTGGGAACACATTGCTTAGGTCTCTTTCATGAATTCTTTACAGATGTTTAGGGTTAAAACCTGACAGGAGAAGATGGGAAGGTACTGTTGAAATTCAAGAAGCAGAAATTGTTCATTCAGGTGCAAGGAAAAGCTGATTGGTCCAAGAGAAAAAGGTGCTGACCAGAAAGTGAAGTCTAGAAGTCTTCTGCACTGAATCTGCTGAAAAAGTGCACTATTTGACATTGCAGTTTTCCTGCTGAAGACGGCTAACAGCTTCTCACACAGAAGCTGAGCCACTCTCAGTCTCCTATAAGGTGGCAGTGCTGTTCTCATCTCACAGAACTCAGAGTTGGGGGGTAACAACACACCATCCACAGTGACTAGAGAACAAACAATTCCTTCCCATTCCTGTGTATTAATAGTAACCATTGCAAAGTTGCTAATTAAGTACAGTCATTTTGCTTTCTTGTGATGTTGGCTGTTCTTTGTTTATCACTCACTTCCAGAAGTGACTTGCTCACCAAGTGCAACCCAAAATATTCATCACAAATTTAGTAATTTCTATTATATTAATAAAAACCAAATGAGAAATAATGTGTTGGTTTTTTTTAAACACTTCCTAGGATAGATAAGACATAGGAAAGTGACCCCGTTTTGAAGCTGAGTACAGACTGCTACATATCTGATAATTGCTTGAGTTTAGGAGCTTATCTGAAGCAGCCACTTCTTGTAGAAAAATAAATAGATGCAATGAAATGTGCACATTTATGATGTTGCTAAATTGATGTGCTAGCTTCTAAGGCTATTGGTGGAGATCCGTCAACGTTTATTTTCTTGTCAGAAGCCCACATGCCATTAAGAAGCAGCTGCTCATTTTGTTTTGGGGTAGATTTTTGGGCTTGGTTGTCTTTTACTTGTGTTGTTTCTCATATTATGTATATCTCTGTCTTGCTCTCTGAAAGCTGAAGTCCAAGGTCACATTTTTCATCAATGAAAATAAAGCCTATTTTGAAAATTATGATCTCCCCAGGTCACCTAGATCAAATTAAGGTAGCAATTATCAACAGCCCAACCAGAAAGCTAAAACCTGTCACCAATTGTTAAGTGCTCTATCAAGTCACACAGTAGCTATCAGTTTTCTCCCCCAAATGCCACAGGCTGTAAAATTGTGAGCAGTTTTCTCAAAGGCTTCACCAGTTATCTGTGTCTGTCATCTGCAGCCTGAATTGCTATGATGTGCCTTCAGCTGAGCTACAGACCACTTAGAGAGGCTATAAACACATTCAGAATTAAATGTCTGTCTAATGAGAAATCTCTCTCTCTATACATTCACCAGCACCTATCAGCTTGCTAGAAAGGCATCTGCCTGCTTGTTTTCCAGCACCCACTTTTTTCTCAGCTAGCTTTTGGAATTGTTTCAGAATCCAGTCATTACCTGGACCAAGCTTAAATTTAAGTTGTTCACTTCCTGCTTTATACATATTAATATGACCCTGAATGCACAGGTAGCCTGTTCTCAGATCTGTAAGGGGAGAACTGTGACCACAGTAGTATCACTGGACTAAACAACTCAGCCTGCTGCTAGCCCCAAAGTAATCCAAAAAGGACAAACTTAGGCAACAACAGAAGCTGGTTTACAAAACTCCTCCAAGCTATTTGTGTAGCAAACTTCTATCAACAATTACCCTTGTGCATCACTCAAGCTACCTCCCCAAGGTCCTACTCTGTCCTGTTCTATCCATCCCCTTTAAACAGTTGTATTACAATTCCTGTGGCAAATACCAAATCATAACTAGGCAGAGATTAAGAATTCAAACTGCCAGCTCTGAGCATATAAAGAGATGAAACCAAGGACCCATTTCTGTGACTGAACTTCACACGTTCTTCATCTGCCTAAATCAGTGCAGTAGCCATTAACTTCTATGGAGAGACTCAAACTATACTTAACACTGAGGGCTGTAACCTTCATCAGAGCCTCAATTGCTGCAGTTTTCCTACAACACGCGCACAAGAATTATTTTCATTAGGGAACCTATAGCTGATGTTCCTTGAAGGTGAGAAGTGCTAGCCTACATGTGTAGCATGTAATGTGACCAGTTCAGAAGAATTAGCAAGATTTCTAAACATTAACTTCTATCTAAATTCCCCATTAATGAGACTTGCTTTTCAAAAAGCTGGTCATAACTGGAATTACAGGCATACCACTGTAGGGTAGATACTGCCCAGTTCCATATTTCAGTACAGTTTTTAAAAGTCTTCCCAAACAAATGCTTCAACTGGGTGGAGGGGAGGGGTGGTTATTAGCATACTGCTTGCTTAGTGCGTGTCTTTTTCTGATCTAGTGATACACATTCATGACAGGCCCAATTTGGAGCTTTCCTTATGAAGAATGACAGCTGAAAATTCAGTTTTGAGGTTACAATGGCAGTACAAGTTGAAGTGTCAGAGCAGGTAAAGCTAAGGCAAAGTCAGATAAACAAGTTTCACTGGAGGATTAAAAAAGAGTTCTGTTTGTAGTGCCTTGGGAAAACATGAATCAAACACCATTCTGCAGGCCAAAAGGGTGTTAACAGAAGTTAACTCAAATGGCAAGTTATAAAAGTGCATTAAGCACTAACATTCAAATGTGTATAATGAACAAGAGAATCCTCAACTCCTTCAAATGCTCTCCCATGCATTTTATAATCAGTTTAATTTAAGCCAGTCCTGGAACACTCAACCATTTAGCAATGCCTTAGATAGGGGGTTGTTTACTGCAAAATAATGCAAAGGTTATAGGAAGAAAAAAAAAAAAAGGTATTCCTATTGGAAACCTCAGCTCTGTTTTTTTACAAAGGCAGCTGGCAGCTTAATGAGATGAAGTTTCTGATACCATCAAGATCCTTTTGCTGAGACTACACTGTTTTCAGCTGCTGTCACCAAGTCAGCTCAGCACTACTGTTACACTGTTTGTCCCCTTCCAAGTGACTATAATGCCACTCCAAAGAATGGAGCCCATCTGAATGTATACAACCTTGCAAAAACTTTTACTTACACCTGACCAGAGAGAAAGAGTGCATATTTGTGCAGTTTCAGGCACTGATGAGGACTTTCAGAACGCTGGGAGAATGGTTCAAAGAGGCTGCGAAGAGCAGTACTGAAGAAAGCAAGAAGTGGGAAGAAGAGAAAAAGATTCTAGCACCAAAGAAATGAAAAATAAACCCCACATTATGGAACTACATTCATCATGGAGAAACAGCCCTGGATTATCTTTCATTTCTCAAACTCATCACAGACCTACAATGGCACCCCAACAAAGTGTATTATCTGAAGAAAAAAAAAGAATGGTGCAGAGAGAAAACATGGAGGTTGTTATAGTTTTAAAACAGCCTTAACGCGGCTGTTTGATAAAATGACTATTTCCAACAGATTGGGGCATTAAGCCCGTTTTTACCTCACAACTTACAGCACTGAAATAATCATGCCTTCGTGTGCTTACAAGTGGCGCTTAAAGTGGTTTTGGATTAAATTTCATCTTTTCACTCCAGCCCTCACAAAAATGATATGACTTGCTATCTACCTAGGAGAAAGGCTTTATTTTGCTGTCCGAGCTTTACAAGATTGTCATTAAAGTATGATCAAATGAAAAGATCTCTGGAAAAAGAAATACATTATAGCTTCAGATTTCTGTATATTCTGTCTTCATATCTATTCAGCAGAGAAACAGATTTGCAGTGGGTGTGAGCTGAAACTGCCTGTCTCCCCACCTCAATAAAGCAAACCAAAGCCAGGCTTCGATTTTGAATCAGAAATGTGCTGAAGAGTAAATAAATAATCTTTTCTTGTACTGTGTTCCCATCAGTTCTATGATTAAAACAGCCACAGGAACTGGGTGGGCTTTGGATTATGTATGACTGGCAAGACCACAGATCTGTTCAATTAAAAAAATAGAAATAAAAATCAATTATCTCAATTTCCCAGTAGCAAAGATGACTGTGTGAAGCTGTTCAAAAGTGACTAATGAGAGCCATCCATTCAAATCACACTTAGCTGAACAAAACCTTGATACAGAATAACGCCTTGTTTTGTTTGTTGCTATTTAAAATAAATGTGGCTGAATAAGTTGATACTACACAAAGATGGACCTTACTGTCACAGGGCTTAAAATATTAACTCATCTTAGGTAGCAGATTTCTTAAACTTAAAAAAATAATTTCTCTGCATTTCCAGTCACACACGCACTGTACACACTGATAGAAACAACAACAACAACAACAAAGTTACTGATTTTGGTTTTCCAAATTCAGTGTCAAAACTCATCTTTTTTATTTTCTTCACTTAATACAAGGAATGATTTTCGCTTATTAAATCTGACTCAAGAGTAACAAGCAAAAGCCTGGAAATCCCAATCAAATAATGGGAGACAATGCCATGAAAGGGCTGGAGGCGCAAAGTGAATGTATACAACATGCATAAAATGTCAAAGTGTAAAAGCAGTGTAAATTGTTTGGTAACAAATAGAATAAAACAGATGGAATCATTATTTATTACAACGTCAATCTTATGATTTTCCTTCCATAAGTCAAATGATAAACAAGAAGGTAACAAAAAGTCCCTGAAATCTTTGTCTATTTTTTGAAATACATTTGAAATACAACTGCTAGGCTGACTGAAAATTCTATGGTAGATGATTAAAGAAAGCCCATGAAATCTGAAGGAAAATATTTCTACACACTCCCTTTTGAGCATTAGCTTCATTCTTACAGTACATCCCTGCTTTTTAAGTAGACTGATGGCTATTAAGTGCACTGGGTGAGAAAATCACGGCAGCGACGCCTTACTGTCTGGATGTGAAGTCTGCAAGGCAATTAACATTTTCAGATGTAAGACAAAATTAGGAAAGAGAAATTTAACTTTAAAAGGTCTGATCTAAAGGGAAAAATCTGACCTGTAAATAAAAGCTGGCTTTCACAGATTATTAAAAATCAGGTCAGACTGCACAATCAGATCATGTATTTAACTTCCTGAAATGCTGCACTCTGCTCCACTTCATAAATTCTCAGCTGCAGTCAGCTTAATCATTTCAGATTGACTGGAGGATGTATGTAAGAAGAGTATCTGGCCTTGTTCTGAAGAGACGAGGAGATTCAGAATTCCACCAACACATGACCAACTGTTACTTTTTGTATTCACATCTAGGATAAACTATATTCATGCAGTATGAAATAAAGTTCCATAGAAAAGGGATAAGAAATAAGAGCAAACAAGATGATAGCTGTTCCTGAATCACAAGACAATAGCCTGTCTCAGATGTTAAAGGCATCACAGCCAAACTGCTTTCTATTCATTATATATGTGATGAACACTGAAAGAAGATTGCATTTCATAATGCTGAAATGTAGAAACTTTGTTTTAATTATAAATAAGAAAGCAATTATTCTGTTGGGCACGTTGAATTTCTGAACTTGCCCCTATGTTATCTAAGTATGATATGTCTATTTTCTTTTGTAACTCACTCATAATTATTCAATGTTGTAAGCAATTTAGTGATGGACAAAGACATTGTCAATGAGGTTATTTTATGAGAGCAACTCAATTAGCTAGAAATAATTTCAGATTTGAAAGCAGATAACTGCATGAATTTATCCCAATTTCCCCTCAGTCAAGATCAGGCAGATGGCACAGCCTAATTACACCTGGACTAACTGCATGTTGGACAATTAATCTAAAAGCTGTTTTGAAAGCAAAAAGCAACAAAATTCAGCCAAAATAGCCATTAAAATAAAAAAAAACAACACAACAAAATCTTCAGGGCAGCCAGCTCTGATCCAGTACTTGACTGGTGACTCACTTTGTAGTAGCAGAAATTTGATGCATCCAATTTTGACTTATTTTTAACAATAGGACTGAAGTTGTAAATCACAGACAATTTCCCAAACATTATTACTAATCCACATGTTGGAACAGTTAATAAAAACATAAGCATTGATCATGACTTTGAAGTAGTAACTTTGTTAGTAATTTAAATATTAAAGACTCTTAAATGAAATAATGTACTTAACACAGAAATCTGACTTTCTCTTCCACAGCACTCTGTGTAAGTTAACTCCCATTCATTTCTCCTGTTGCTGGGAAGAAGGCTCTAGTAGAAATTAGTAGTCCTAAAAGTGTTAACAGTAACCCTACAGCATGCCATGATATTATATAAATTCCTAGAACTGATTTGCATAGATTAATTGATTTCTGGTACTTGCAAGTGCTAAAGACGTTTTCTTTCCTATACTGTAAGAAATGTCTGAGCAAAGAGATGCATGTATTTGTATGGCTCGGAAGGGAGTATTACTCCATTGACTCAACTGATGGACAGCAGTGAATCCTATAACACATTACATGTCAAAATAAAGCTAAATTATATCTATGTTCAACAAAGAGTACTGTTTGGATTCTCAAGCAACCCATGCATGTGGTTTGGCAGACCAAATAATTCACCAGCACACATCAACTGTGTGACAGTATCTACATCTGGCAGCCATTAACCAATAGCAGAAAATGTTCTTCCAACTCTTTCCAGATTTTCAAAGGGTGACCTGGTAAGAAGTTAAAAGCATAGCAGAAGACCCAGCAGCTCCCCACCTTGAAAATGAGACAAAATGGAAGCTAAAACAGCAGTGTAAAGGGAGCACATTGGCCAAGCAGTACCTTATGTGCACCCTGCACACCTACCTGCAGCTCCTTTACCACACGTTTGATAAGGTAAGTCCCAAGTTCCACCCCCTGCAGTCCTTGCTGAGTCAAACTGATTGAGTAGAAAATTGCTGTTGTAATTTTGTCTGTATCCTCTGTTTCTAAAGGTTCCACTTCTTTCACTATGGCCTGGGAAAATAAGAACACAACGCAGTATTAGTGGTAATTACTATTTTAATAACATGTGAAGGGGCCTTTCTTCCTAACTGTCAAGTGTGATAACATGTTTCTCACAGAGAATAATGAATAAAGCAGTGGGAAAACAACAAAAATCCAATCAAGGCAGAAAGGCTGTTTATTCATTAGGAAGCATGTGGGAAGTAATTGTAATGGGTTTAAAAATTTCAGAAACAAATTTCGTAACTGCTTGTAGGTTTTAATTTTGCTTACTGTATTTTCTTACTTATGTTTTATCTTAACTTATTGTTTTTGAATTTGAACAAAGCTTCCAAATTTTTCTTGATATAATACGGAGGATCCTCAGAAAATCCCTATATTTAAGAGGAAAGCCAACTCATCTTTTTTACAAATGAAACAAAACCAAATAATTGCAGACTGTCAGAAATTAGAGATTTTAAAAACTATATGTTGCAATTTAAACACTTTGCTGTAGACTGAATATATCAGTGACTGTACCTGGATGCTGCTGGAGATATCACTGGTTAATGCAACATGCAAGACTATCAACGGCTCTCCTGGGATTGCACAGTGAGAAAAAAAGTAGCATCTTCTATATGACCCCACTCGACGCTTCATATCAACCCAGTTTCTAACAGGATGCACGGCTTCAGAACTCAATGAAGAAAAAGAAACATTTGTTGTTTCATTTAAAGAATGCAGTCGCCAGTCCTACAAACTCAGTACTTTCGGCATTGAGATGAGTAACAAAACTCCCAGATTAAAAAAGGAGAATCGGGCTGCGATTCGAAAAAGTAAAATCCATCATCAAGTTGTGACAGAGCCAATTGTAAAGGCCTACTGCATAGCAGACCTGTGGTTTTCTTTGGGATATACTCATTATGAAATCTCACCTACACCTTCTGCTTACTGTAGGATACCCAACTCAGATGATTAAGCCACTGAATGAGTCTGCACACGCCTCTAAGGAACTAGTTTTCCCAAACTACATAGCAGAGATAACATGAACATCTTTGTAAAATATCTCAACATTTTCATAGGAAAGCGAGAAAAAGATTTCCAATCATAACATTATCTACTAAGCATCCTTAAAAGTTTAGGCTGATGTACACCTTAAAGCATTTCTGCTTTTCTTCTTCAGCCCATTCGGAAACATATTTGCCACCAATGCACACACACACACTAACAGTGTAACCTGATTTTAAAGCACTCAAATAATAGTCTAGAATATTTTGTGCACTGTTATTTCACAGGTCCGTGTTACGTACTGTGCAGACACAAGGATGTGACATCTTGTACTTTAGTAACTTTCACTAACCTAGCCAAATGCTTTGGTACATCATCATCAACAATACCTATGCTTAGCTGAATTCCTGCTAGCACTCCCACAGTCACATCTTCAAGCAAGCAATCAAAATATTCTTTCCCTATTACATCTGAAAGTCTGGAATGTTTGCCAAAACACCCAAAAAATTAAATATTACCAATTCTTTTTATTTTAAAGTTCAGCTTGTGTAAGATCTCTTTTCTTTGCCTCATTCACATTTAAGTCATGTACTTTCACAACCTTCTTTACAGATTCGTTTTTCAAGCTTTTCATATAACACAGCACCACACAATTTAATTTTTATTCAACAACCTTCAACTTCGTCACTATAATTTTGAGTATTTGACAGAAAGTCAAAAAATAAACGTTGTAGATTTAAAGGAATGCTTATTTAAAAACAAAAGACAAAAAAAAAACCACCGTGCACCCTGCACATAGAGTTTACACAATTTCTGCACGCCTCACCAGTTCCAACCAGGAAAGGAAGCCTCACTACCTGAGAAGTAAAACATGTTCTTGAATTTTGGCACTCCATCACATTTAAACACTTATTCTCCTCCAACACTGCTATAACTGCTGGGGCAGACTGAGGGGAGGAGGGGACGGTGGTGCTGGAGGTAGCAGTGGCAGCAGCACCTGTGGGAAGAAAGCGAGTGCAAGAAGGCAGTGCAATGAGAGTCTGGGTGTGCAGGAAAAGTACCAGCACCTCTAGTAATCTGCTGGGGATGGAGTAACTGAGAAGGATGCATGGAAACTCATTTGCTAGAATTGATAGCAGTTTATCCACGTAGCGTGTGAACAAATAGTGGGGCAACAATCCCTTTTCCTTAAAAACTGCAGTGTATTTTTAAAGTACACTCTTAACTGAGTTAAATGCAACTGCTCCTTCATTACACCGAGCCTGAGATTAAGGATTGGAAAAGTGCTTATCTTGAGAATAGTGCAGTCACAAACCTTTCATTGCCATTCCACCAATGAGAATTAGGAAGTTTCAACACTTACTCACTGATTTTCTGGAGTACTTCACAAGGTGATTGCCACGTGACCCGCTCCAAATTTAGGAATCCTGTTGAAAACCACTCTGAGAGCATGTTCTTTAGAACACCACTCATTTCCTGCAAACAGGGGAAAAAAAAAAAAAAAAAGGAAAAGTAAGCCAGGGAAGAACACAAAAATGTGAAAAAAATCATTAAGAACTACAACACTGGGAAGTTCAAGGAAAACAATGCACGTGTTCAAGATTAAAGGCCTAGCAGCTCAGCTTTCAGGACTAAAACAATGAAAACGTTTACAGAGAATGAATTTACTGTCAGTACTAAGCTACAGATAGGGAAACTGATGTTAATGCAAAACAGCATAGGGAAAAGGAGACAATAAGTAGAAGCATTTGAGAAGTCTTGACAGTGAAGCAGCAGTTGCATAGATGCTCAGGTACATTGATTTAAATAGCAAGAAACAAATCATGGGAAGCAATGAAAATAAGGATTTGAAATTCAATCTAATTTTCTACCTCTGAATCCTCTCTGAGTATTCAAGACATTCGTGCCTCGAAGATTACTGTAGTAGATTCAATAGCAGTGGAGTGGCACATACCCACTCGGGATAATGAAATGGGAAATGCACACCTTGGAACACGATGCAGTACCACCATCAGCTTCACAGAACTCTCTTTTAACTTTTGTATAAAGGAACGTTTTTCAGCAAGAGAAACAAAAGCAGCAGCATAAGATGACAAAGCTCAAAAATGGCAGTAGACTTGGAACAGTATGATACTGAAATTAAAGTCAACTGTAATGGCAAATACTTTCAGAAGCATTCATCATCATAATGAATTTCATATTCCACACTAATTTCCTGCTGCCTATTTTATTAAAGATTTTCCTAACTGAAATTCTTTATTTGAGTTTGCAAAGTCTTCTTTAACTCAGCACAGCATGAACATTCCTTAAAGAGATTCTGAAGTTATTTTTCTTTCTTATATTTGTTTTGCATATAGGACACAGCATGATGCTAGCACCAACTTAACAACAGCCTGAAAAGAACTGTAGGCTTACCTGAAACTAGCTTCATAACCACTCATTTAAAACCAAAAGCTGCTCACTTTCTATTCAGACCTGTATCAAATAGCCACTGTTGTAGATTAAAAACATATAGACACAAAATTATGCTACAGTGCACTTTAGCTTGCTACAGCTAGCTAAAACAAATGGACAAAAAGTAGAAAGCTACCTAGAAATTAACGCTTCCTACTTAAAACATTTTACCAAAGCTTAGCTGTAGTCTCACTACTTTCCTATGAAAGCAAAACTACTACCAAAATTGAAAGAGAGAAAGTAACATCAGCTGTTGTTAACCAAAGCTGGTTTCAGCATTTCAGTGAGGTGCTATAAGAACTAACATTTTCAAACCCAGACTGCCTGCAGCCAATTGAGATTAGATATTTCAGTTTACCCCAAGTCCTCCCGCTAGAATTAAATGTACTCTTCCCACAAAAACTCCTAAAGCAAAGTTGGTGCCATTGACCACAGTTGTGGATTTTGCAAGGTAAATTCATAGCAAATCCTGGCTCTATTCCACACAGAAAAGGTCAATTTTTCCTTACAGAAGAGCTTTGGTTTTTCTTTGTCATCCCATTTCATTTTAGATTTACTAATTTCTTTTAGTGAGTTACAGAGGCTTCAGTTTGACAAATATTTTTGTCTATGCAGGTGAACCACCTGGAAGAAAACTACCTTTCATCTGCACAGAACAATTCTGTTGCGCACAGAAATTTAATGCTACCTTTCTATGATATTTTTCAGTAACATCCTCAAAAATATTAGAAAAGAAGAGCTTGCTTACTGAAGCATAAATTGATGCGTACTGCAAATACTGAAAATGTCAATTGTGTTGTTCCAAACACAGGGAATATCCATTAACTCTTCCATAAGGTCACATCTCCAAATCTGTGTAAATTATTTCTTTATTGGTCTTTCTCAGCAGAGCTGCCTTTATGTTATAGAATACACTTGCTAGATGAGCTGAAAGTCTTTCAAACTGTTTTTCCACCTGCACTTGTATCACAAGGCTGTACATGCTAGTAAAAAGTGAATACAAAACTGAAATAACGTACAGAAAATTTACCTTCACATTCATTTGTAAGGTAAGCAAACTGGAAGACAATGGAAGCTGTGTAATGCAAGTCACCAGCATACAGATAAAACATATGTGGCTGTTGGCAGCACAGCCCTCTGAAGAGCTAAGAGAACTGAGGACCACGTTAAAGAAAACCCATTCTGTAACAGACACATCTAACCTATACCAGCAAAACTGGACAATTCTTCCAGGCCACCAAATTTAAGAGAAAACAGCAGGTAAAGCAGGCAGCAGAGCCCCAAACAGCCTGAGTAGCAGCAGCTACAAGAAGTGCTCCTTCAGGAAGGTACACAGGAACTGAGCAGGGAACAGAGCAGGTACCAGCCCACACCTCCACAAGGACTCTGCATCAGCAAGAGTTCTAATGGGAGAAGCTGAATTCTCTTCTGTTTGGACATTTTTTCACATGATGGTGTGAGTGCCCTCAACAAGTGTACTCTGACTCTTGTTCCTTCTGGATTCCTCATGAATCCTTGTTTCTGTCCAGCTCTGAAGTTTATCAAAAATAGCCATATATCATTTTGGTCAACCATCCTTCATTGTAGCGATGGCCTCCACAAATATCTCAAAATTGTTTTGTTTTCTTTTCTAAGGGCACAACACAGGCTGGTAAATTAAGCCAGAGTTGTCAGAGTTAGGGTCACACTAACAGAACCCTACAGCTCTCGTCACCCATTTGCTTTTTGGAAAGCCAATGCCATTTCAAGCTGCAGTCTAGCAGCTAGCAGGGAAAATGCTGATGCTGACCCTGCTGTCATTGAGTCCCCCACAGATGTGGGAGAAAGGCAGCTGTGCTACACAGAAACTTTCACAAGTCAAAAACATGGAATCAGCTGCATTTTGCCTCCTGAAGCAGCTACAAGTTTAGTAAGCATGCTCTATAGGATGGGATATCATGATGTTTAACTGGCCTGGAAGCTACTTTCCAAAATGCAGAACAGTATTACAGAGCTACTTCAGGTCCAAGACACAGTGGTATAAAAGCCATGGAACTCTTAACAGAGAAGAAACTGAAGCTAATGGTGCCTTTGGTAATGACTTCAGTAGACAGGTATATTATTTATGGGGAACTGTCACTCAACACACATCATCTGTTGGTTGTAAATAATAATGCCTCGTAAAGTAACAGAATGGCACACAGCTGGAACTGTGCATGTTAACACAGTTTCTTCGTGGAGAAAAACAAAAGTTGCAGGTGCTGTAAAACTGATTCAAGTCATGCGAGCAAAACACTGAGCTGTGCTGAATGCCATGATGTTCACTAAACCTCTGAAAGGTTTGATTCCAGTAATAACATTCTTAAGTCAGGTTCTCTTATTTCATATATTTAGTGGTAAATTAATTCATGTTTTCATTTCAGAGGCCTTTCCAAACATAACGTTTTAGACAAAGTTCTTTAAAACAAGAATAAAAAGAAATCACCTTTATTAATGAGCAGCCAAATCTTAGATATGAGCAACTAGACATACAGTAGTGTGAAAAATTACCAGCTGTACTTTGGCTTCTACTGGCTGTGTATGATGAACTGTGATTTTGCTCAAAGACAGAAAAACAGAGGCTTTCTGATCTTTCTGAACATCAGGTCTGTGTTGGGCAACAGATGGGAAAACCCTTATGAAAAGCCTGATTTTCTTGTATCAACAGAACCTGCCTCTGATAAGGAAATTACTTCAATGAGGAAACAACTTCACCACCTCTACACATCATTTACCATAACATATTGAAGGAACACCAGCTATTAATGCTTTATAAAACAATACCTAACAGTCCAAGCTGTTCCTGTGCTGATCCATTTTGGGAAATACAGGTATTTTATATTTACATCACACAGTGGTGGGTAATCCTTGTTTTAAAAGGACTTTCAAACTGCAAAGTAAAATCTAAGGGCTCTCTAAGAACCCAAAAGCCAGTAGGCAGCATTTTAAAATCTCCTCCATCAAGACCATCTATTTCATTTTATTTCCACATTTTTTCAGTGCAGACACAAACAGCAATTATAAAATTCTTTTAGTAGTTCTGCTTTTATGTATGGTAGAACTTAAATCCATAGTAACTAAAGGCAGCTACAGAAGCCTTTAGACAGGTAAACACCAAACACTTCTTTCTTCCCTAGGAAAACTTTCAACTTCCAGTTGTTTCTCTAGATAAGGGCTTCTTAGATCTTTAAGGGAAACTGTTTCAATATTTGGAGTGCCAAGAGGGCAACTGTTTCATGCAAGTGAACTGATATCCTAATCCACTGGGAGCCCTTGTCAACGAGGCAGCAGTTATTTCATGGAAACAGCCAACTTCAGCTCCTCGTGCAGGTTGCTGCAAGAGGAAAGAACACTCAATTACAGAGCTTCTTTCATTTCCAGCAGACCAATACAAGAGCAACAAGTCTGCAGATGTGCCTCAACTACTGCTTAATTGTAGAACCAGGTTTGCTTATAAATCAATTTGACAAAAATTCTTCCTTTCTCATTACTTTTTTTGCCAGCAACTTGAACTTTCAACTTTCTTTTGCCTAAATCATATGGAAAGATAAATATCTGAAATGCAGCAGGTCAGTTATTTGTTACCTGGAATAATATTATGAATTCCTCACTAGCAGCTGTATTTCAAATGCTGGAACTGGGGAAACAAGCAAAACATGACAACTCACAGGAAGGAGGAGCTGAGGTTGGAAAAGAAGTAATGCAGCTGAGAGGGTTCTGCACTGTAAGGAGGAGAGCTGAACTCAAAAAAAAAAAAAAAAAAAAAAAAAAAAAAAAAAACAGTATTTCAGCAAATTTCACTCTGCGTTCTACAAGGGAGCTCATACAGAAAGCCAAGGCAAACCAGGGCTGCCTCAAGCTTCCATGGCTACGTGCTATTTACTGCCAGCTCTCGTTTTAGAACACATTACATTTGAACAACAGAACTGATGAACAACTGTAAAGAAGACCACAAGATACACAGAACTGAGCACAGCCACACCATGAAACCCAACGTTTCAAAAAACATTTTCAGAAGATGTAACCGAATATTTATGACAGCCTTTTTATTGAAGCTTTCGTTCCACAGATGACATTACCCTACTTTCAAATGGGTTACGTTTGATGTCATACTGTATTATTTGATGTGCGTGTTTTACAGAATTCCATTGCGCTGATTTTGCAGATTCGGTCTGTTGTTACTTGAAATGATTCAGCTAGAGGCAGAGCGTTACCAACTGTCACTACACTGGCCATATGTAAGGACCATGTTTAATATACTAATATGCGGGAATACACGAAAAACCGTCCAGAGCATCAGCTGTGGAGCAAGACAAACAGCACGAGAACTAAGGACACCTCTAGAAAAAGAAAGAATTTCTCAGGGCTCTGACTGGATAAGCATCTGTGTGAATGGTTGAACAGTGTTCTGTAGAATGCTCTGTTGACATGTATAATTAGAGTAGTGCTTAACAATAAAGCAGACTAATAGCTTTTAACCACATTGGTGTGCTATTGTGTCTCCTGTCCTGGGAGTCCAGAGACTTCCCCACACTAATATATATATATTACATAAATATATAATATAGTTTTTCTAGCAAATTTAGGAACTCAGCACTGACATTAAGTCATCCCATTTTTATCAAACGTAACTTGGATCTGAACAGTGAAGGGTTTTAGAATCACAGAATGACTTGGGTTGGAAAGGACCTCAAAGTTCACCATCTCCTGCTGCAGACAGGGTTGTCTAGTACTAAATTAGGCACCTGGTCAGGTCGCCTATAGCCCTATCCAACCTGGCTTTGAGTTGCCTAACTCACCGTCCTTCTCTCAAACAGAATCTTTGCACTATGCCCTGACAGCCCTGCCCCTACACGTCATTCTGCGAGCTCCTGACAGCAATGACAGCCACATCTTCAGCTCCCTACGTCACTCCACATCAGGGCCATCTCATCAGGGCACGCGGCCCGGCCGCACACCCTCCCCCCCGTGCCCTGACCGTCTCCTGGACCCCCGCCCTCACCTTGACGTGAGGCCCATCCACCTCCTTGCTCGCCAGCCCCTCCACCAGGTCTCCCCTCAGCTCCACCAGGAAACGCAGCCCTCCCTCCAGGCGGCCCAGGTGCTGGAACAGCCCCCGGTACCGCGGGTTCAGGTAGTAACGCAGCCGGTCCTCGGCCTGCAGCAGGGCTCCCAGCTCCCTCTGCTGTTCCCGGGCCTGCAGCACTTTGGCGCTGAACTCCGCCACCCGCCCGTGATCCACGCCGAAGTCGCGGGCCAGACGAGCGAGGAGCTCAGCGCGGGGCGGCCCGGCAAGGCCGCGGTAATACCGCATGAACTCCGCGCCGCGCAGCTCGGCCGGGGGCGGCGCCTTCTCCTTGGTCTCGTAGGGCGGCAGCGGCGGCACGGAGCGGCTCAGCAGCTCCTCCATGCCTACGTCGGAGGCGGCGCGGAGCAGCCCCCGCGGCACCGCCTGGGACTGGCGCAGGAGGAGCCGCGAGTGCGGAACCAGACGACTCATCCCGCGCTCCGCCGCCCACCGCGGCCTCTGCCTGGGCCAGGCCGCGGCACCGCCCCCGGAGCGGCAGCGGGCGCGCTGATTGGCTGGCATCGCGGACCCGCCAATCAGAAGCGAGAAGGGGAAGTGCGGGAGAGTGTGGAGCGGCGTGAGCGGCGCTGCGCCGCCATCATGAGTGTGGCGGACGCGAAAGCGTGTCGTTCGACTGTTCCTTCACCGTCCTTCCTTGCACAAAGCTTTTATCTTTCTCAGTGCACGTTCCTTCAAGTATCTGCTGTGCGACTCAGTGATTCCTGGACCTTTCTCACCTGTCACTACCATTCCCTGCTCGCTGCTGCCCAGCAGCTAGCTGTACTGGAGCTCCCAGTAAAGCTTCATGGTGAGCCCGTGGCCCTGACAGAGAGACTTTGGTTGGCATCGTGGATTATGCTGTTTTAAGGCTGGTGGCATCCAAAACAGTTTCTGCCTATAGCCTGTAGGAGGTTTACCCTATTTGGGCTCCTGGATGCCTGCCTGCTGCCAGCTGGACTGACTGGGCAGTGTGGGTAAAGAGGTTATTTCCCAGTCCCACCAAGTTCAGTCTGAAATAAGTCCAGGAAATTGCACAGATTTGATGGCGTAATCTGATGATGTGTTCCTGCAAGCAGCGTGCCCTTTGGAGCCTGTCAAAAGCCTCTGGTGATGGGTCTGAAGTCCTGTGCATGCTGCAGGACTATTGGTGAACAAAGTTGAACACGTGCTCTCTGGTATCTATAGATCCAGACTTACAAAGATGATTTTTTTGTCTTTTTGACACCCCACGTACTCTCTGCTTACTATTATTACATGCCCATGACACCAAGCAAAGTACACAGGTCAGAGTGATAGCAGTGAGATTAACATCGAGCAGCAGTTGTCTCCACTTTGGGAATCACAAGGAATTATTGATTCTCTGCAGCTGAAGTAAGAATTAAGAACAGATCCAGGCCCTCTTCACCACCGAATAGAGCAGTGAGGAAACAGCACTACTGCTGGTTTGTTATCTAATTAAAAATTTCCAGAACAATGTTAGAGCTCCCAGCAACAACAACAAAAAAAGCAATGTCAGCAGTGTAGCACTGGGGAACTGTGGGTCATAAGATAAGCTTAGAAAGCCTGAAGGGAGAGAAACATGACTCAGAAACATTAAAATATATGAAAAAATAGTTAAAAAAAAAATTAAATTCCAGGGGCAATGAATTACATTTCAGAAGTTCCCTTAACAACTTTGTAACTTCATTTTCAGCAAAAGTAGAAACTCTCAAAAGTTGGCTGGTTTGTCCTGCTCCACCTCTGAAGCCTGTCAAAGCCTGCTTCTGTGCAAGGTTCACATACTAACATGGATGATAAGTCTTCACCAGATAACATGATGACATTTGAACATTCAGTGTTTATAAACAGCAGTGCTGCAGTTTCAAGTGGCTGTTAGTTAAACAAGACTGTTTTCTGTCTGAAAAATCAAAATAAAGCTTTATTCTGCAATGCTCCATAATGATGTGAACAAGTTTGTTTTTTTTGTCATGTTGGATAGTTAGAAATAGAACTTTTTCTTCTTTATCCTTAACAGTTTTCTTTAAGGTGATATATTTGGTACATCACATTAAGGTACATGTTCATGTAATCAACCACTTTACAAGCTTTGATGCAGATTTAGTCAATGAAAGCCTAAAATCTATGTCAGAAGCCTACTTGAGCCTAGATGGTCTATCTGGCTGTTCTGGTAAATGCACATCAGCTCTGAAAATGGCGTTACAAAATGGTTGCTTCTGACTCAGCCAGAAAACCTAAAGCTTTGTGAACATAGTAAGACTTTTCTCTTAAGTGTCTTGGGACGCTTGGGTAACTATGAATAAATGAAATTAAATCAAAGCATTAAGGAGCTTACAGAAATGTGAGGAAGCCTTACGCACCTGTTCAGTTTCTGCATGATTCAGTGATTGCTGGAAACTTCAAGAAGCTCAAGAACAAAATGCTGGGAGGGGATGGAAGCTGAAGGCTTATCACCTTCCAGGAAACAGGCAGCATTTCTCAGATCACAGAAATCCTTTTTATTCTTTCCATTTTGACAGTCCTCTCAGATTGGCTTTGGTTATTATTCTTAAAATAACATCGTTGTCTTGCATAAGCCACAGGCCACAAAAACTAGTTACCTATGTTGTTCATCTGCAAGAAAAAAAGCATTGTGATGTAAGTTATAAGGCTTTCAGAAGTGAGAAATTCCTTTTAAAATCTTTTACCGCTTCTTTCTGTTCCCTAGGGGAAAAAAAAATCAGCTGCTTCAGCTGCTGCTTCGTAACTGAAAATGACTCTGTGTTGTGGACCTGAGGGCATGAAGAGACCTTAATGGTTCTGACCAGCTTCACCCAGCGCCTTCTCTCACACCCTCCCATGGGCCTGGGAGCCCCGTTTTGACTTAGCCTGGCTTTCAGTCCTCTTCTGAGCTATGCTTTGGGAGTGTGGGTCTCCATTTCCACCAGAGCTCTGCCCCTGGGCCTTCCTAATCTGCAACTGCAGTCCTGCTTCCACCATGGACCTGCTATTAGTGTTCTGAGCCTGACTCTGGCTGCTGTCGTGGTGCCTGATTCTGACTCTCTGGTTTTACCTTGCTCCGTGGATTTACATGATGATCCAAACTGTCGACTGAACCTGGCTGCTAACAAAGCCTGCCTTGCTTGATGGTGGTGAGGCTCTTCCTGTTCTCAGCTCCATGCCATGTACAGCATGGCCAACCCTTGCTGCTCCGAGATCTTGCCTTCCTTCAGATAACAAAGACTTTGCTAAACTTGGGATGCTTGGAGATGAATTTACAATATTCTTATAAAGAGAAGATTTTTTCTTTTTGACTTTGTTGAAAATTGAATACTACTATCGGAAAGCTGGAGATTGAAAGAGACTAATTATGCTTCAGTAATTGTAACTTTTGTCTCCAAGCAAAAAGAGAAGCATATAAAAGATGGTAAGTCAATCTGATCTTTTTTTTTTTTCTTTCTTTCTTTTTAATCAGTTCAAATGTTAAGTAAAAATAAGGAAGATAGCCTGGATTCTCTGCTCAGTAATTCCTCTGTAATTAAGATATGTGTGTGTAAGCATACGTAGGATAGAAAGAATGAAGGAACTCCCGTTAACTTCAAAGGAAGGAAAATGGAAACAAAGCCTGTGTTTGTAGCTGTTCATCATAGGGAGATTTACAGAAAAACAGAAGCCCACACTTCTGCCATAAGACTATTGTGACATTTACTCTTGTATGTAATAACCATGCATATGCACAAGATTTTTTTGTTCTTAGCATAGCTCTCGAATTAATATTTTTAAATATCTGCTAGATCGTATTAAAAGCATCTAACTAGTTGTTTTATTGAAAAAAATAGCTATTTTCAGTTTGATGTTAAGGAAGAAGCTAACAGATGATGATAAAAGGCCTCTTTCCCTGTTTTTCCTTCAAGGTTGGTGAATTAGCAGTGCTTACAGTGTCATAACGCTGTGGCAAGCTGTGTTGCAAGCTCTAAATGAGTTTGGTAATGGCTTTGGAAAGAGTTTGTAAAATGACTTTAAATGAGAGAGAGTCCTATTTTGAAGATTTCATAAATCTCAGAGGGTATTATTGGAAGAAAATCTGCTGTAGTTACTTAGCAAAAAAAAAGAAAGAAAAAAAAAACAGAAAAAACATACACACAAAAAAATCTTTTCAGTTTTTATACTTGGCCTTCAATTATTTAGGCCCTCCAGACAGGCAATTCTATATGGCAGTTCTGGGGTTTGTTTTGTTACAACTCCCAAAACTCTCTGTTTAAAATTGGATAGAAATGTTCAATTGCCAGAGCTATAGCAGTGTTTAGCTTTAATCTTAATATGATATTGTTTTATTGAATTATCTGGGTTTAAACACACGAGGCTTGTACGCAGAGGCTGCAGACTAAATTCTATGCTCTCAAGTGAACAAATCTGTTGAAGCTTCATTGTAAGTCTAGCTGGGTTCAATGTTTTCATTCCTGATTCTCCAGATCTTCAAATACTTGCTTAATTTGCCGGCAGTGAGCACTTCACTAGGTAACGAAATGAAGGACCGAACAGGTTAGGTATCTGCCTTTATGAACTGATCACAGCAATGCTTGTTTCAAGTGATTAAGCTGCCTGAAATGATGATTATGAAGTTAAGGATTTTTTATAGCCGACTGAAGATTCAGATCTTACTAGTTCTATCAGTTTTAAGAATATTTATAACTGTCAGTAGACAGTACATTTCTACATTTCTCAGACTCGGTTTTCCTTTCTTTAGAAAAAGGAAAGGAAATACTCCTGATTCTAAGGAATGTCTTCAGCATTCCAGTCTACAGTTAACACAAACGTAGTACTTTCATTTTCAGCCATGGGTATTAAGTCCACTGTTGGAAGTTGCTAACATACATGTGAACCTTGACTTGCTTTGTTGTTTGATGCTTGATTATACTCTTACACAAACTCATTTACTGGATTCTGTACTTGCTTCATAGTAGTTGCCCCAGAGCATTGTAATTAGTGTGGAAGTTGGCACCATAAAACCTTCAAGCTGCGTTTTTTCTTCCTCTCATCTTCTTCTGGTAATTAATTTCTGTTTCAGTATGAAAAATAACTTATGAGAAGTCTTAATTGATGAAGTCTGTAGTACTTCTATTAGTATACCCAGTTTGTGCAGTTCCTTGCTATTAATTCTTGTGGAGGCATAGAAGACACATTAGATGGAAGTGAAGCCAATGGTCTAAGCAGATGCTCTTGGTTGTGGCTTGCTCTCATTCAAGGTGGGCACATGAAGCTGTAATCCAAAGCACATTAAACTTTTATGCTTAAGAGACATTGCACAATATACTGGGAAATTCTTGGGTTAGTTATTTCTAAACTGATGTTTATAATTTTTCTTCTTGTTGCTCAGTCATGTTTTTTTCACACTTGTGTGAATTTTGCTGTCTAAGCTGTGAGGTCTCAGGCTACCTCTCACTCTGCAGAAACAAGGCTGGGTGGAGGGCTGAGAAGCTTT